CATATCTTCCCGACATTGCTTCAAGCCTGTTTCACCAACTTCTTCTAGTTATCATCTAATTTATATTGTAAGATCGAGACTTACCTTAACTTACGACATATCATTCGATAATTGTTCCTCCTAAACTTATAGATCCTTATCCGATGCCAAAAAGAAGCAAGTTAAGGTCACCATGCGGATCACGTGAGGAATGCATTCCGCAAGTGGATTTCTTATTCTACTTCATGCTTTTCTAGCGTACCACGCAAAATTCCTTAAATTCCCCTTAAAACCGGAAATATATTTCTGGTACGCATCATGTTAGACATGAAATGTGTATGAAGAGTTTGGTGTAAACCGTAAGTATATTTCCAATTTGCAACCATAAATATATTTTTGGTTTTTGGACACACTAAAAAGCGCGTTGCCTACTCCCCTCCCATAATAGTAATATTTCAAAACAAAAACACAAAAACACTCAAAAACTCTCTCAAACTCATTTTCACCAAATCATCAAGCATCAGTTAAATCATCAAGCATCAGTTAAATCAAGAATCCAACCACAATCAATCAAGAAAATAAACCACAATCAATCAAGTAAGTTGTTTTTGAATTTTTTAGAGTTTATGTATAATCTACTCAAATGTGTGATTTATATTAGAAATTGAGTTTTTTTAGTTTGTTATCAATATTAGGAATCATTGTAAAGGTATTTTTAATGTCATTTTCACGATCAATGAGGTATTTATGCGCTCATTTGGTAGTCTGGGTCGCCATCAACAGACCTCTGAAATCGCAAGGAGAACAGGAAATGCATTTCCAGTTTTAGCAAGAACAAAACTGCAAGTGCGTTTTCGGTTTTAGTGTGTATCTGTTTTCAGCTTTGTTTTGAACAGTGGTCCTTAAGTTAACATTTTTTCACACTTCTACAAGAACAATGACTGAGAGACCATCTCGATTGAGACTTAGTAGGGTTGCACAACATGCCTTTGTACGAAGAGAAAGGATTCAGGCAACCCAGCCTCCTTCTGCCTCTGGACAGGCCGTACCGATGCACCTCCTACAACTTTAGCCTCTGGTGTTCATGCTTCTACTCCTACTACATCGTCCTGCAGCAGGCGGGATTTTCCAGTTCATCTGTCTCTACTCCCGTACTCTCGAAGACGCACTTCTCCGCTGAGTGTATTTGAGGCGGGAGAGACCATTCACAGGAGGTTTGTCATGAGAGCATACATGTTGTATCTTGTTAGAACACAAATTTTTATGGACATTAGTGCCACTTACACTGATATTATGTATCTACTGTTCTTTGATGATTTTGAGACGATCCACCAGTGGAACTAAGGGTTGCTTTCCTGGTTTACTTATATACGAAGTTGGATGAAGGAATTAAGTGGAATACGAGGCAGATGACTGACAGTATGTCACTCATGACGGTATAACTTCTTGGTCTTTGTGGGTTTTTGTTAACTATTGTGATTCTAGAACTAACTATTTAATTTTGTTATTTCAGATATGGATCCTACAATACTTCCCCTGCATCTCGGGTTGGTCACTTGCTCCGGGTTATACTGAAGATAAGTCGTGGGCCTGCGCATACGACCCCCTCTGAGGTAACCAGGAGACTGAGTCGTTTCGGATGTACATTGACTGGCTGATGCATGAGGACATACACTTATGTTCATACATCGACCATAGTGTGACGATACCATTTGACGAGGTTGCGTTCTTTACGAGTTTGTTGGCCTGTAGGATTCACAAGAGAGCTGCTTATATGCCTGAGCGAGTGATGTGTCAATTCGGGTACACCCAGACCATTCCATGTGATCCTGCTGTATCTACTCCTCTGACGGTGAAACGGAGTGATACAGATGCTTTGTTTGATGATTTTGAGAATCACCTTGATGATGAGGCCAAGAGTACTGTAGCACCAGATGACTGGAGCTACGAGTACGGTTACATGATATGGTTCTTCCGGGTGTCTCGTCCATACATAGTACAGGATATTCCGAGGAACCCACCGAGGCTAGTTCATCAGGAGATCCTAGAGGAGGAGCAGGCTAGGGCCGATCATGGCACTGACATGTTGCCTAGGTGTCTTCGTATCATGGATATTACGTGAGATGGTATTAATATAGGTTTGTTTCCCGATGGATCCGATGTTAGAGGTGTTCTGGATGCCATCATGATGGAGGCTTAGGAGGCTCTGTGTTACAGGAGGCAACAAAGTGACGCCTCGAGGGTGACAGGCCGACTCATCATCCGCCATGCCCAGTAGTATTTGTTGGTGTATCTGTATTTTGGTTTTAGTTTTTTGTTATTGTATTTTGATTATATTTTTGGTTATCCCTTTATCAATCATCGACATTTTTTGTGACGTGTACTACTATATATATATATATATATATATATATATATATATATATATATATATATATATATATATATATATATATATATATATATATATATATATATATATATATATATATATATATATATATATATATATATATATATATATATATATATATATTTGTCTTGGTTGTATGTTTTGTACAAGTTTTTGTCTGTAACGTGAAACAACGAGAAAAATAATGCATTTCATCGCCTACCTTTTTTTCCTGCTACTGGAAGCATTGGAACCAGAAATGTATTGTCGGTTTACAACCGCAATTATACTTTCAGTTTTAAATCAATTTTAACAAAAAAATGTGTGCAACAGAAATGCATTTAGGATTTTTAAGGGGCATTTTAGGAATTGCGTAGGGTATTTATTTTGGGCATGAAGTGGAATAAGAAATCCTCTTTCGCAAAAGCCTCCCGAGAGCCGATGGACCCCAATACAGTTGCAAATTGAAGTTGTCTCTGTCTCATAGGACTTACATGTTAATGTTTTGTTGCTTGTCATTTTATTTTTTTTGTTTATCTTATCGTTATTGAGTCTCCTCACATAATTGCACACTTTAGGATTGAGTTCTTAATTTGTTTTACGCATGCATAAATCAAATTGTTTTGTTAAAGTCTAAGCAATATGCTTATAGTCAAATATTCGAAGGTTTGAATCAAGAAGCATATTTGTGAGTGATTTAAGTCATGGTTAGTTCCAATTTAGAATAACACTTCATTTTGATGAAAAAAATGTAAATTTTGAAGTGTAATTCAAATTTTCTATGAAAGATTTAGTCTTTCTTAGTTACTTTTTTGGTTTTTCTGTTACTAGACACACAAGAGGTATTTTTCTATCTAAAAATAAATATGTTGATGAAAATACTAAGCTCATGAGTATGTCTTCTTGTAAACCATCTACTACGTCGGTGGACACATAAGCCATGCTAAGTGGATCTTCTGGAAGTCCATATCATAATCCCAATGAGTATCACAGTCTTGTAGCATCACTTTAATAATTGACTTTTAAAAGACTTGATATCACTGATGTTATGCAGCAAATGTGTTTCTTTATTCATGATCAAAAAACACAACATATGTTTTTCTTAAAGTGTACCATTCGATATCTTCAGGGCACTCTTAATTTTGGTCTACACATATATCCTTCCTCCATTGATAAGCTCATCATAAATATTAATGTAGCTTGGGTGAATGTCAAGACACAAGAAGGTCCACATCTAGATATTGTGAATCTCTAGGGGATAACTTCATCTCTTGGTCTACCAAACGACAACCTACATTATCTAGTTATAGTGTTGAAGCCTAATATCTTGGATTTATAATGTAGTATCTGAGTTTTGTTGGCTTAAGAATCTTATTTTAGAACTACATCGCCTTGTCTCAAAAGCTACATTAGTCTATTGTGATAACATAAACGTCATGTATATTTCTAGAAATCCCGTTCAACATCAACACACTAAGCACATTAAGATGGATATTCACATTATGTGTGAGAAAGTTACGTGTGACCAAGTTTGTGTGTTGCATGTCCCTTTACAATACAAAATATCTGACATCTTCACAAAGGGCCTTCCATGACAACTCTTTGATGAATTTTGACTTAGTCTCAACATCCGACAACCTCTTATTTCGACTATGAGATATATTATAATATTTAAATATCTTTTATATTTATAAAATATATTTTAAATTTATTATATGTTCATATGCATTTATTTATCAAATCAATCTCATTAATTGAGAGATTAACATTATAATTTAGTAACGTCTTCATAGTTAAGATACTCTTGTATAACATACATGATTATGCAATGAATTGGGCAAAACAAATATTCTTTAACAAACATGACAACATAAGAGTGTTAGGTTATCAATATAATTAAAAATCTTATTTGTCATCTTGGAAACGTTGAAATCTATCAATGGGAGGTCGTGTGGTTCTTCTCAAAGCCCCATTATCTTTGTCTTCTATTTTTTTTTTTTTTAAGGCTCCAACCAGCACCAAAAACAAATTTTCATCCGAGACTTCATTGTCAAATAACATACACATAATATTTGGTTGAATTGCCGCTATTACTTAGGTCTTGTACACATGGGTCAAATTAATTGGAATCATTTCTTAAGCAACACATGCTATTACTTAGGTCTTGTACACATGGGTCAAACTAATTGAAATCATTTCTTAAGCAACACATGCAGTCGTCAATTGAATTAACTACACACTACATGCAATTGTCAATTCAATTGACGACACCTCTTGTTTTTTAATGGAAGCACCAATTCATCTAGCAACAACTCTTTGTTCAAATATTTTTTTTTGTTTAAAAGTGGATTATTATGAGAAATATGTGGTTATTATAAAAATTTATTTGAAAAGATATTATTTGCATAAAATTTATTAAAATTGTCCATATTTTTGTATTCAAAAGATAGTGATAATTTAAGTACCTAACAAAAATAACTTATGAGCCCAAAAGGGTCATTCGCCAAGCTCCAACCTCAACCTTATCTTCAGGACATTTCCAAATTCCTCACACCCTTTGGCTGTTAAAGCAAACAAGTTAACAATTTGACAAATCACAAGAGCTACTACCACATATACAATATACAATATGCATCCTACTCCTACTACACTTCCCAAGGGTTTGGCTAGATGGACAATTATGCCATGGCCTAGGCTTCCTACCCCATTTCCAATTGACAACATTCAAAGTCACAATGTAAGCTTGTGTTGTGACTTTAAAGAACTAGATTTGAGCAGCCAAAGAGGTAAAAGCCTTTGGTGTGGTGCAAGAAGGCAAATTAGGTTCCAAGATGAAGATGAAGATAAAGATAAAAATGATGAGTATGGATACAATGAAGAGATTTCAAAGTTGGAACTCTACAGTCAATCAGCAAGAGGAGAAGCACTTATTGTTCATGCACTTGTGGACCAAAATGAAGTAGAGGTGCTTATCTTTAAGGTCAGTTTGTCATATATATGCCAATAATTGATTTTAAGAGCCTTGCTCTTCAATAACCAATAACACAAAATAAACTATATAAAAATATTTTAGCCCCCCCAAAATGAATCTACTTGGAAAAAGGCAAAAAGCACACTAATTTGTTCTGAATTTTAGGATTTTGTTTCAGGGGTTTTCTTCATCCTTAAGCTATAGTACTTCCCCTGACCCAACAAGAAGCATTCTTCCAGCCAGGGCAGTGATAACATCTATAGATAGAATCAAAGGGCCTTTTGACCCTGCCAATATAGAGTATCTGCAGAAAGATGTGCCATGGGAAGAATTCAAAACAAATCTTTCTAATTAAAGATGTAATTAGCTTCTTAAATTTGTTTAATAATTTTTTTTCTATTGATTTAATTTGTATACATTGTCTCAGAAAATTGTATCCCTTACCTATATTATTGTTGTCTCTAACTTAACATTACAAGTTTGTTTCCTTACCTATAGAAAATAATAAAACAAGAACATGATAAAATAATCTTTAAATTTTTATTTTCCAATTAAATATAAAAAATAATGGACTAACAATAAACCTACAAAAAGTCTTGCTTACGCGGTTGATGGACAAAAATGAACTCAAAGTTTGTTGCAACTTATTATTTCCAAGCCACTGAGTCAATGTCATCCCTAGCTTGCTTGTACAATTCAAGCCTTTTAGCTAACTGTGTTCTCTTTTCCATAAGTGCGGGATCTTCATCCAACATGGTCCCGAGTTGCTCCTTCTGCATACACCATACATTTTGTTTTAGCCTTAACACCAATGTGGTTAAAAACAAAATATCTTATTGAAAATTATTTGCATGAGTCTCATAAGGGCGAAAAGTGAAAGAAAACACTAAAGATAGAGTCAAACCTCTTTTTTTCCAACTTGAACATAAAAGCGGTTAAGCAATGATCTCTTTGCTTCTCTAACTTGACAGTAAACCACAGCTTTTGGTATAGAATTTTTAAGTGTGTCACATATCATGTTGATATAGGCATTAACGTTTGATCCTGAAATAAGAATCATAAAACGTTTTAACAATCAAGAATGAATTTATGAAATTTTAAAAAGGAAAATCTCAGAATCGCGAATTTCAAATTTTTACAGATTTGTATAGTGTATATTAAAATCCAAAACAAGTAAGAATATAACAGCCAACAAGTAGGAAGATCATGCCATGAACTACGTTTGTAGATCAACCATTTAAACCATTTCAAACAATCATGCCACAGCATTTAAATTCAAAACCAACCTTTAGCATGACACAAAAAATAAATGAATCATCAGAGAACTTTATGTATTGCTCATGTGGTGAGCAGAGACTATTACGTACCGATTTTCCTGAGGTGATTATCCGAGTAATTGTCCAGATTAGGATTAGGATTATTAGGGGTATTCCGACCTGGGGTTGTTTCTGATTCAAGATTAATCTTCCGAAAAAATTCTACTGTTAGATAGCTAGACTCCATATCAACTAGTCGGGTCACTGTCTTCCTACTTTCTTCTCGAAATCTATCCAAAGAATCATTTGCAGCTGTGGCTATTTCACTTTTAAGTGTTGGAAACCTCTTCAATTCCTGCATGCCATGAAGTTAGAACAATATATTATTTATTTTACCTTCAAATTCCCGGATTCTGAGTGAATTACGGCTAGATAATGTTAAATTTCCATACATGTAAAGCCAAAGTCGTTGAAATTTTAATTAATAAGACAAAAGAGTAATCGTTTCAAAGCTATTCTTTCAGGCTTCCTAGTGAAAAAGTTATACTCGGACGTGTGTTACAGCATTGCTAACCTCAGTTGCTGCAATTGCCTTCCGTACAAGCTCTTTTAGAACAAGGTGGACCTGAAAGCAGATGACAATAAACAATTTGCAAATGGAGAAAACAAGGACAGAAGAAACAGAAGAGGGAGGCGATATTTCAAAAAAGAACAGCATGTAGTTAAAAGAAACATAGAAGAAGAAATAAGTATTGTCACAGTTCTCGCTAAGAAAGATTTGGCCTCAAAATTACATTGCCAACCACACATCCATATTAAACATGTTTTGATCAGGGAATAAAAGCATTAGAGTTTCCTCAGTAGAACAGATATTTAAACAAACACAGAGTTAAGAGGATTACAGCATCCACAGAGGCATCGGCTGGGCCTTTGAAGTAGCCTAAACATCCTTCAATAAGTCTTCTGTACCCTTGTTCTGGAGCAATCAGATGGGGCTGATAACCATCGGCTTCAGTAACGACTCGCTGTACATTTTTTAGGGAAAGATGACGATCAAAGGGGAGCTTTTTCAAAGCAGCCGGTAATTGGTTGTCAAAAACCCCATAAATTTTGTCCCCGCCTGGACGTCTGAAATATAGCAGTCAGTTACTCTATCAAATATATTAGCTCCCATAAGAATAACAGTGCGAAAATGTGTTGCATAAAATTATTTCATGATAAATTAGTATTACTGTAAAGGTGTATCTGGTTAAACTCAATTTTATTTTTCGCATTCAACTACTGTGATTCTGAAGCGAGATAAAAGAACTTTGGCCTAAATATACTGAAGTTATTTTGTCCCTATTATTTCATTTTACACATTGTCATGCACTAAATCAACCCAAACGATAAAGCAAATTGCTGATGGTTTTACATCTTGAACATTCATGCCCCCACAAGCTAGAGTTCTTCGGGTTAAATAAAACATGGACAATGCACGGATTCTAACGAGAATAGAAACTATACTTGAATAATTTAGAATGAATGACATGCATTACACAATGAGCTAGTAAAAATATTTACACAAATAGAATCTCTCAAAAGAGGAAAAGTAAACCAAAGAACATGGCCTCTACAATAACATCATGCTGACATTTGCTGCCAAAATGCCTCATATTAAGTTGTCATAATTCCAAAATCAACAATCGATAAATGATAAACAAATCGCTGAAGGCCAACACCCAAATATAGAGTATTAAAAATCCTCTAAAACAAAAAGACAACACAGGTAAACAATAAGTTACAAGCAAACTATTAAGCTGATAGTGTCCTCCAAATGTTACAAGAGGAATCCCCCTATTAGATTGAACTTTCAAGTAGCGATAACTGACTATAGAAGTGTTTTTGTTGACAAGTTATTGTCGATCAAGTAAGGTGTGTATTAAGAGTTTGCCTTCCAAGAGCCAATTGAGTTCTTTTATTCTACAGTTTTTTCTACTACCTTCATTTCTGCTTCTACAAGAGGATATATCTAGCATTTTGTATGATATATCAGCTTTCAGTAAATAAATGTCCTTTAATTCAAAAGGAAGCACTATTTGAGAAAAGCAAAATAAGTTCATTAGCATTTATATGATCAACACATTTAGAGTAATCACTATTAGTTGATAAAAAACTTCCACCTTTTCTACCTTATCTTAATTTTATGTTTCTAAAGTCTTTCTAGGAGGGACCGTTACTAAGTCAAAGCTAATATTCTGTTAGACAAATGTTAGATAAGTTCTATCCAATTTCTATCAGTTACCAACCCATAGAATGGTATCAGAAACCTTCCTCCAGACTCACTTATTTTTTCCTTTTGTCGAAAAATTAAATGCGTACACTTCATTGTAAAACAATTCTGGCAAAAGAGGGAATTACTAGAAAACTGCATGCATAGACATTAAAAAATGTACCCAATAGAAAATAATTAAGGATGAGGATATAGATGCAACAGGAAAAGCAATGAACCAGCAGAATGTGAGAGTGAATCTCTAGTTGAAGACTGCACCAATGTATAAGAACCAGATTACCCAGAAACACGGGTAACCATAGCTAAATATCATATTTTGTCACTCTATCACAAGGTTGTAAGCGATAAATAAAATGAAGCCATATAAAATTAGTCAACTACAATTTGTAGCAAATGCTAAAACTCAGCAAATGTACTTACCCTCCATCGATGTGTTCCTTAAATACTTTGTCGAATGCTCGACACATCTCTAAAATAGTGTATAGTTGGGCCTAAGGAAAAAAAGTGACACTACTTAAAATGAAGAAATCAAGTAGTTTCAAATCAAAGAAGATTGAACTCAGAAATGGTCTAAGTTCTGACCCCGGAATCCACAGCTATAGGCCTGCCAATACGGTCCAACTCTGCATTAAGCTCGTCAATGGTTTTATTTATTAAGGCAATGATACTAGGAATCCGCTGCCTAATGACAATCTCCAGATGCTGATGTCATACACGCCAGTAAAGGAAAGGAATGAAAATGACTAGTCATTTGATGAATTACAGCCTAAAAGTCACTTAAACTTAAAGAAAACAGTAGTGTGAAAACTTTTGATGAGATGAGAATACCTCAGATAGAAGTCTTGCAAGGTATTCTGCACCCATTTTATGTGCCAAATGTCCATATTCAGGGCTCGTCTCAAAATATTCACGCTCCTTCTTGCGAGCAAGAATCATGTCAACGTTTTTATTAATATCTGCTTGTGAACGGTTAACAATTCCAACCCATGGATGCTGCAACCTGTAATGTCTTCCTTCCAGAACCTTTAAGATTCACATAATAACACGACTCAATTTGGCGTAGAACATCAAAACAGTATATAACCATGAAGTTTTTTGAGAAATTATACATCAACGGCATTTGTTCCTTTATCCATAAGATCAAGTTTTGTCACCACTCCAAATGTTCTTTCACCTGAAACAAGAATAAAAGAACTAATGAATCCAAATTGAGAGAGAGATTGATCAAATGAAATAGTATCTAAACTTAAAATTCCTTCAAGAATAAGATGACAGACCCGAAGGATCAACTTCTTTTGCAATTTTTATTGCATCTGAAGTGGCAATATCTTGGTTTGCAGGAGAGATGGCCAATATAATGCAGTTGGGCTGCACAATCAGAAGACTCTATCAGATCAATTTTTGTTCAGTGCTAATCAGAAAATGTGACTTTTAACTTTTTTTTCTCTTTAAAAGATTTATAAAGAAAACTGTGTACGGAATTACGGATATTTGAAAACAAGATGACACTTTTGTAATTATTAACGAAAACTTACAAGGCTGGTTACTTGAACAGGGTGTCATATCTAAGATTCTGTCTATGATTTCCACTGTTGAAGTTTAATGATCGGTTACTTGAACAAGGTATCTTCTTTAAAGGGAGTTTATACTATAAGAAATTAACTTTCCTCTTTTGATAACTTCGATTTAGTTAATGTCTTGTACCACGCATGTTTATTTCAATTCTTAAACATATCTACTTATTCTTACATCAAGACAATGATTACCTTCTCAACATAGGATCGGACCATGTTTTCAATATCTTGAACAATAGATTCGGATTGTCCCTCTGTGTAAGATGCACAAATTATGTTATTCAAACATTATACCAACAATTTCTTTTCTCTGAAATTGTTAAGAAATAGTGAAGCCTTACCTACGGCAACTTTTGTCAATCCAGGAAGATCTATGAGGGTTAAGTTTACAACTGCCGACAAAAACACGCAAATTTATCATGCAATTCAAATTAAAGTTCCACTAAATTAGGAATATTTATGAAATGGAAATTATGTTACACTTCTCAATTAGTAGGGTGTCTATTAGAAATAGAGTATTGTTAGACGATGAGAAACTAGCTTTCTGGGAAGACAAGGTGGCTCATTCTCATCTCTAACAAAAAGTCCTTCAGGATTTAAGAGAAAATTATTTCAACTAATACATAATAATTAGCCTAACTTGTAACACATTCTGCCATTGATTACTGCTTTAAATTGTTCATCGAAAGGCTAAAATTGGTAAAAAGACACGGTACAACGTTCTATAAAATATGAACACTATCATGTTATGAAGGGGTATTGTATACAAAATACCATTTGGAGAATGTATGCTTAATTGAATTGGAATGTTTGAAATTTGCTTCGACTTCCCAGTTATACGATCTGTTTCGTCTGCAATTTCCTGCCTTACAGCAACTACAAGTGACAAAAGAAGAATATCAAAGTTCAGTATCTACTAAAAGAAATGTTGTTAGAAACTTGATTTACCGAAGTCAGTGAATCTCTTTCTAGGCGCATGAAGAAACTCGGCATAATCCTGTTGTCCATCCTCCGTCTTGTGAAGTTGTAACACCAGCGGCCTTCGTGTGACAATACCTTGTAAACAGTTAATAACAACACATAGATAACCACTCTCCGCACATCAATGAAACGATATTCGTCTTCAATTATAAAGGAAAAACAGCATGATCACCGCGCGATAAACACATCCACTAAAGAAAATGCTAATCTAGCAAGCAATGGTTACATACCGGATCCACGAGGTAGAAAATCCCTTCCAACGACGCTCTCTAACACCGACGATTTTCCTGAACTCTGGTTTTGATTTTCCACATATACATACACATTTTCCGGAAAATCAATCACACAATATTCTAGATCAAACACGCATGATATAATTATGAAAATGGAAAGAAAAAAAGTGAGACCTGTCCTCCAACGACGGCGACGGAGGGAAGAGCCTCCCAGAGTGACAAGCCACCACCGCCGTGATCACCTAAGACAGTGCATGCACGCTGGATCTTGTTGATGAGACCAATCAAGCTCGTCATAGTCGCCATTTTGGGATCAGATGAAGAAGAGTGAATGAATGTATGGTTGTTAGATCGAAAATCGCAGAGAGAATGGGAATGAAGAATGTGATTCGGAAGAGAAGAGATAACTGAAAAACGGTTTTTTGGCGGGGATTGAGGAGTTAATGCTGAAATGGAATTTTCACTTTCACTCTCACTTTCACATGTCTCTTATTTTTTTTATACTATTTATTAGAGATGTATTTTTAGACAATAATCAATATTATTTACAAAAATTTATCTTGACACCTCTAAAGTGTATGAAAAGAACAAAATATCATAAAGATATTATCGATCATTTTTTCAATAAGTTTGATTTCATGAGAAATTTCATCTTCTATATTACATGCATCTTATTGAAATTTATTTAAAGGTCTTTATCACATAATTGGCTTATGCTTAATATATTACTTTTTAAATCATCTACACGAAGAACGTCATCAATAATGGTAAGGGGTGGTCTACCTACTTTTCCAACACTAAAAATCTTCTCTTTTTTATTGTCTCTATAAGTGTCGAATCCTTTAGACGTTAAGATCAACGATGAAAACTTTGATTTGTCTTCTGTCATATGTTTAGAACATACACTATTAAGATACCACATGTTGGTAGTGGTTTTTAAGTATTTCTAAAAAAAACAAATTAAATTTTGTAAGGTATCTAATGTGTTTCGGTTCTTTCTAGGTTAGTTCATTTCTTTATCCAAACATGCTTTTCACTTGAAACACCAATATTACTCATATAGCAAGAATTTTAGGTATTGCCCTTTGTATTAGAATAAAAGCATGAAAATGTATCAAAAGACTTATTTCTTTTAAAATATATAAATTATTTTTCACATAATTCATTTTTGGTTTAAAGTTATCTTGCACATTGGTTTGAAAGTTGTTTTATGTATTTTTAGACTCTACAAAAATAATTTTATCAGAATTTAATTTTTTTAAATTTAGAATATCCAAGACCACTTGTATCATTTATATATCTTTGCTTGGTTAGAACACTTTCAATGAAATTACATTTAATACATGTTGAATCTTTAACTTTATCTATAACTCCAATGGTATTAGCCTTACTTTCTAAACATGATTTTGTTTTTGTTTTGTACATGTTATAGAAAGAGTCAAACACTCAGCATATAACTCAAAAAAATCAATTTTTAATTTATCATACTACAGTTTATTATTAGTCTTAAAATTACTAATCTCTTTATCTTCGGCGTCGGAATGATGTGAGTCTATCTAAGTAGCTTTAGATTAAATTTGTCATTTGTGAAAGTTTTTCTAAATACGGTCAAGTGATTTGTCAAATGTGTGAACTTCTTTTTGCAAATTAAGTATCTATTTTTCCAATTGTATTCTAAATATCTCGTATTCTTGAAAAAGAGTGTTTCATCTATATTTTTTTTAACTTCCTTCGTACCTTCGTACGTGACTTCCAAGATTTCCCATATTTATTTAGCCATTTTACTATTAGACACCCTAAAGAGTTCATCCATTCTTAAGGAAGATGTTATTATGTTTTTGGCTTTCTTATCATGAAGAATTTTTTTGTTATCATCATCATTTCATGTGTCTCCAGGTTTTGGTTGACTTACACCATTAACAAGTACAATTGAAATATAGGGACCATTTTTAGATTGATTTCCATACTTCTACCCATTGTGATTTTAGAAACATTTGCATTCTAGTCTTTCAAAAATCATAATACTCACCGATGAAATATGGTGGTCTATTGACGTTCCCGCCTTATCCTAATAATACATTTACATAAGTCATTTTAACCTGGATCTAACTCTTACTCTAACTCTTACCTAACTCTTACTCTGATGGCAAATGTAAGTATGAGAGGAAATCTAAGAGGGTGGATGAATTAGATTTGTTGGATTTTTTGTTTGTTTTTATGCAAAGTTTCTTATCGTTTAATTTTTCTAAAAATACGTAATTTGTTGCATCTTTTATCTGAATAAAAAGTACATAAAAGTAAAAGACACACAAGAATTATACTAGAGGATTCTCAACTATAGTTATATATTTGTACAAGTCTTTAACAAGACCTACTTACACTCTTCTAATACACAAGCCACTACAAGAAATTTGACATGTATCAACGTCAAAAATCTATTGGTAAAGGTCTAAAAATTATTGGTAAAGGTCAAAAAACCTATACCAGCGGACCTTTGCTTTCGTCAACTATAATTCCTTAATTATACCAACAGCAAATTTTCGTTGCAATATCTTATACCAACGAAAACAACAACTAATTACACTATTTATTAACTTTATCCACTACGTATTTCCGTTGGTATAGCATGAAATTAGCCGTTGATATATGTATTTTTTTTACAAATATTTCTTTCCAATACTTAATATTTTTTTATAATCAAATTTTTTCAATACTTTCTATATGCATCACACAAAATTTAAAGCAACATGAAATAAAATTTCAATAATATTGTCAGAATAATAAGCCTTACAAACATATCAAAATAATAAAGTAATGTCAATTATATAATAACAATCATTAAAATAGATGCTACGACAATAAAAAAACACAAAAACACAAAAACATATCTAAGATAAAAATAGTTTTTAATCTTCCTCTCTTCCATCTTTATCAGTGCATGAACTTCGAGAATTTATCTAGTTTGGGGCACTAAAAACATCTATAGCCTATTTGATCTTACCTGATCAGAATTGGACCGCCACGACTGGCTCGGGCAGAATTTGAGTGAGATGGGGGGGGGGGGGGGTACCTGCAAGACACTCCGATGCTAAAATGAGTGACGGAACGAGCAGGCAAAAAGGGTATAGATGCGTAAGAGATGAATACCTGACCCTCTAGGAACAGAGGGTATTTATAGCCCTCAGCGCTGGGCCAAGGTTCCCTCATTGGGCCGATCAGAACTGGCCCAATAAAGGAACTGCCAGGTTCTACGTATATAGTGGAGCTCCGCACGTGGTCCCCTTCCTGGTGATGCTCTACGAAGAATGAGGAGGGACAAAAACGCGGTCTTTCCAGAGTTTAGATATTCGATAACGGTCAGAGAGGATAGAATCTGCCCTACGGGGAGAGTGCTCGAGAAGGACTCGAGCTGGAATTCCATTGGTCGGGGACACCATGTGCACGGGCAATGGCGAGTGTGGCTGTAGTCTGTGGTCGGGCACGTCGTCGGCGATCCGCGGGTGCATATTCCTCGAGGAGTTTGCTTGGGTTGGGCCTTTACCTGTGCTTTAGGCTAGGGCGGGCCCAGTCCAGAACAGGAGCCCCCCAAGTCGTTGCTCCTGGAGTAGGAGTTATGACTTAACTTCAGCTCGCCTTTACCACGAGAATCTGATGCCCGAACCAGGATATTGCTCCTTGATGCGTGCTCGAGGAGTTTCCCACGGGTTGTGTTTGTGGCGTAATCCTTGTCGATGTGTGCTCGGGGAATTCCTCGCGGGCTGTGTTTGTTGGATACACGAGGCAATCCTTGGGAACCGGGATGCCACCCTAGAGACAATAGGGTTATCATTTCCTAGGGAAGTAGATGTCGAGGAGGAGAAGTTCGTGGCTCCCCGGGGCGACGTTTCGTATTCCACGTCATCCCTATAAATAGGACCCTTGGGTGCCATAATTTGTTTTTCTTCTCCGCGCTTCTCCTTCTTCCTCTGCATCTGCCGCCGTTGTTTTTCTACAACATCGCAAGATTACCGCACCTTCCTCCGTTGACTTCTTTCATCGTTGCCGTACATTTTTCTTTGCTTCCAAGTAAGTGTTCATTCCTCCTGTTTTTCTTTGTTGTAGGTAGTTTTACCGTTATTTGGATGTTAGAAACCCATATCTGGGATTAGTGCCCGGCATATTCATGTCCGTGCCCGGTGAACCCATAGTTTTAGGTACGTGACTCGCAATGCAGCCCGTGACCTTCATAGTTTTAGGTGCACAATCTATGATTCTGCCCGTGATATTAGTAATTTTAGGCATATGATCTATGATACTGCCCGTCATATTCATGATTTTGGTCGGCGCACCCATGAGTTGGTCGGGATGTTGACCCCTTAGCAAGTGTGTAGGACAACTCGTCGTAGCATCTTAGTGTCGGGCAGGCGAAGTCAGGGCCTTACTCGAGTCATCCATGTTTATCGCCCGGGGTGTTCATGCTATTCCCTTATTGTTTCCGATGCATGGTCGAGCTGGGGTGTCTGTGTTTGGCTTGTCGCACGCTACTTCCTGTCACTGTGGTGAGCATGCGGATTTGCTCTCGAATTTCACCGGTTTCCTGTGCTTTATAGGTAAATGGCCGACAAACCGGAATCTTCGAGGCGTAATGAGGTCGAGGACCAAAGTACCGAAGAGAACGTGACTCTAGTTGATACCATCAATGACCCCTCGTTGGATTGGATGGGCACCGAGCCCTGAGGGATTGCCTCGGCGTATTATCGACGTAGTCGGCGCGCATACACTATCGTCGAACACGACGGTAGTCAGCCAGGTTTCCAGAAGAATTTTATTGTGACGAGGTCGTCCATCGATGCACGAATCTGCTCGGAGTTCATAGAGTATGGGTTTCCAATGTACGAGATCGTGTTTAGGGATCTCAGTCTCACGCTTCCTTTCAGTGATTTCCAAGTCGGGGTGTTCTGCCATCTGAACTTGGCCCCTACCCAACTTCATCCTAACTCGATCGCCTTCCTTCGGGCGTTCGAGCTGACATGTCGCTTCTTGAGGATCGGGGAGACCATTCCCCTTTTCTTTAGAGTTTTTCACCTGCAGCGTCAGTCTCGAGGAGGCAGGCATAGCTGGGTTTCCCTGAAACAGTCGAAGAGGTTGTTCAGGATGTACATGGATTCAGTCTGGGGCTTCAAGGACAAGTGGTACGTTCTGCAGTCGGTCACCCAGACTGCTTTGGATTCTATGTATGAAGAGGAAACCGCGGTAGTCGACGAGAACGGGGAGCCCCTCATGGATGCCGAAGGTCGACCGACAATGGGGCGCGTATCCAAGTTCCC